TTGTGATTAAATAAATGTTAAGAAAGAGAGAGAGTGAACAGGAAAGAGGGAAATCAGCGGATCCTGAGGAAGGTGGAATAGGTGGGGAGAGCAGAATAAAGAGAGAGAGGTGAAGAAGGTCATACAAAAGCCAGCTTGAACAGGTGAGTCTTCAGCTGCTTTTTAAAGGAGACCACTGAGTCCACTGATCTCAGGCTCAGGGGGAGAGAGGTCCAGAGTCTGGGGGCTACAGCAGCAGATGATCTGTCACCTTTGACCTTTAGCCTGGTGCTGCACAACCAGTAGGCTTTGATCACTGGACCTCAGGGACCTGCTGGGGGTGTAGGGACTAAGAAGATCACCAATGTAAGATGGTGCTTGTCCATGTAAGGCCCTATAGACCAGAACCAGGATCTTGAAATGAACCCTGAAGTTGACTGGCAGCCAGTGAAGCTGGAGGAGAAGCGGGGTGATGTGGGTGTGTTTGGAGGACTTGGTCAGATGATGATGATGATGGTGCTGATGGTGATCATGATGATAATGATGGTGGTGATGATGATGTTGATGCTGCTGCTGCTGCTGATGATAATAATGGTGTTTATGATGAGGATGATGCTGATGATGATGATGATGGTGCTGATGGTGTTTATGATGATGATGGTGTTCATGATGATGATAATGGTGTTTATGATGATGATGGTGTTCATGATGATGATAATGGTGTTTATGATGATGATGGTGCTGATGATGTTTATGATGATGATGATGATGATGATGATCATGATAATGGTGTTGATGATGATGATGTTGATGATGATGATGATAATGGTGTTTATGATGATGATGTTGATGATGATGATGATAATGGTGTTTATGATGATGATGATGATGGTGCTGATGATGTTTATGATGATGATGATGATGATAATGATGATGATGATGGTGCTGCTGCTGATGATGATGATGCTGATGATGGTGATGATGGTGTTGATGGTGATGATGGTGTTTATGATGATCATGATGATGATGATGGTGGTGATGATGATGTTGATGCTGCTGCTGATGATGATGATAATAATGGTGTTTATGATGATGATGGTGTTCATGATGATGATAATGGTGTTTATGATGATGATGGTGCTGATGATGTTTATGATGATGATGATGATGATGATAATGATGATGATGATCATGATAATGGTGTTGATGATGATGATGTTGATGATGATGATGATAATGGTGTTTATGATGATGATGATGATGGTGCTGATGATGTTTATGATGATGATGATGATGATAATGATGATGATGATGGTGCTGCTGATGATGATGATGATGCTGATGATGGTGATGATGGTGTTGATGGTGATGATGGTGTTTATGATGATCATGATGATGATGATGGTGGTGATGATGATGTTGATGCTGCTGCTGATGATGATGATAATAATGGTGTTTATGATGAGGATGATGCTGATGATGATGATGATGGTGCTGATGGTGTTTATGATGATGATGGTGCTGATGGTGTTGATGATGATGATGATGTTAATGATGATGATAATGGTGTTTATGATGATGATGATGATGATGGTGCTGATGATGCTGATGTTAATGATGATGATAATGGTGTTTATGATGATGATGATGATGATGATGGTGCTGATGGTGTTTATGATGATGATGGTGCTGATGTTAATGATGAGGCTAATGGTGTTTATGATGATGATGATGATGATAATGATGCTGATGCTGATGTTAATGATGATGATGATGGTGTTTATGATGATGATAATGATGATGATGATGGTGTTTATGATGATGATGATGATGGTGATGTTTATGATGATGATGATGATGATAATGGTGTTGATGATGATGTTGATGATGATGGTGGTGCTGATGGTGTTCATGATGATGATGGTGTTTATGATGATGATGATGATGATCATGATAATGGTGTTGATGATGATGTTGATGATGATGGTGGTGCTGATGGTGTTCATGATGATGATGGTGTTTATGATGATGATGATCATCATAAACATCATCATCATCATCATCATCAACATCATCAGCACCATCATCATCATCATCATCATCATCATAAACATCATCAGCACCATCATCATCATCATCATCATAAACACCATTATCATCATCATCAACATCATCATCATCAACACCATTATCATGATGATGATGATCATCATGATAATGGTGTTGATGATGATGATGATGCTGATGTTAATGATGATGATGATGGTTCTGCTGCTGCTGCTGCTGCTGATGATGATCATGATAATGGTGTTGATGATGATGTTAATGATGATGATGATAATGGTGTTTATGATGATGATGATGATGATGATGATGGTGCTGATGATGTTTATGATGATGATGATGATGATGATGGTGTTTATGATGATGATGATGATGATGATGGTGCTGATGATGTTTATGATGATGATGATGTTTATGATGATGATGATGGTGTTTATGATGATGATGTTGATGATGA